AAATTTGTGTTGGTTTCATGTCAGGGTTACAAATAGGCTGGTTGGGTGCTCACCAAGAATGCATGGTTTTGCGACATCGTGTTAATTGTGTGCTTCAGTATAGCAACCTGTCCATTTTTACTCCACTAAGCCTATATGTCTATAACTAACTGACTGACACATGTCCCGCTGCTGTTGCAGTCAACCACCTTGGACATGGTGAAGCAGTGGGCGACAGATGTGGGCGGTGGAGATTGCAACAGCCATGATGACAGCAAAGGCCACTTCAAAGCGCAGCCGTTCTGGACCTGATGTCGTCTTGACTGAAGCGGATCATGGAAACAAAGGCGAAGGGGAAGGGGGGCAAGAAACGACGGTGGTAATGGATGCACGTTTATTTTGGGGTGGATGCACATGCAATGTGATGGACAGCTGCATTGTCTTCTTTTGTGGAGGTGCCTTTTCTTAGGGCTGAAGGCACGTTCGTATCACATGGTGGACAGGGTCTTGAGACGGCTTGGCTTATAAGCAAATCCGTATTAAGACACTGTTCATCATGTGATAAGAACACGCCTTCCTAGATAGGATTGGAGGCGTGTCCATATGGCGCGATGGACATTATGAAAAAGCTTAATTTTGGACTGAAAGGGGCCTTCATATCACGTGATATACAACTTTCATTTTATGGAGACGCCTTCTTTTTGGACTGAAAGGGGCCTTCATATCACGTGATATACAACTTTCATTTTATTGAGACGGCTTCTTTTTGGACTGAAAGGGGCCTTCATATCACGTGATGGACATGGGCTCGTTTTATGGAGACCACCTTCATTTTGGACAGAAGGGGTATTCAAAGCGTAAGGGACATTCATTCTGAGCTACCTTCATTATGTAACGAAGTGGTCCTCATTCTAAATTGAATCATGGCCCTCGATTTGGTGTGGAATGAAGGGTACCTTCATGAAGGTATGAAGGGTCTTCATTAAGGTATGAAATGAGTGTGAATCGCATATAGAATGAAGGCTCCAGGTTCCCAGAGTGTTGTGAGTGAGGAGGTGATGGATGAGGTGAGGGCACGGAAGGATTTGCAGCCCTCGGCGGCTCGGGAAGAGCTTACCAGGGTCCTTATGGAAAAGGAAAAGGAGAAGCACTCATGGTTTAAGTAGTACTCAGTACTTGTGATGCTGGGATGGGTGGAGCCTGGAAGCGCATGCCTTGTGTATGCCTAAAGGAGACATGGATTTGGATACTGTGGATATTGATGTCGTTGATGACAACCAAGGTTGAGGTTTCATCTGCCAAGGTTGATGACAACCACTGGTTTGCTAGTGTCAATGGCAATGACAAACCTGGACCCGGAACCTGAATAACATGGTGGGTGAAGCCCTGGTGGAAGAGGAAACGATTTGAGATTGTAACACATGAATAAGGAACGATGCCCGCCATCTACTGCCGTCTAAAAGATAATAGCCTATACCCAACTGTCTATAGACAGTGTCTATATCCGACTTGTCTATAGATAACCGTCTATATCCGCTTCGTCTATAGATGTAATCTATAGACGACCTGTCTATAGACGACTGGGTATAGACGGTCGTCTATGGGTCGTCTATTAGACGGTCGTCTATATCGTCTAAAAAACTCTTCTATAGACGAGCCGTCTAAAACTCAAAATAGTTTGTCTATAGTCACGTGGAAAAATTACAGACAGCAGGCTGCTGCAACTGCTCACAAAGCTTGTGACAACGAACTACAAGAGGTAGGAGCAAACAGCTCTCTATAATCCCCTCATGTGAGCATTGTTCAAACCCTTCTGCAACCAAACACACCTTGAAATGCTCAACACTGCCGTCAGCGTTATGGTTCACCTTATATACCCACGTGCACTGACAAGGCAACAAATGTGTACCGGGAGGAGGCTTCTTGAGCTCCCAAGTATGGTTGGCCAACTGAGCAGCGATCTCCTCATACATAGTGCACCGCCAGTCGTCTGCATGTGGACCTGAGATGGCCTCCATATAGGAGTTAGGCTCAGTAATTCCAGCAGAAATAGCAGCATTGACTTGGCCAGTAACAGTACAACCTGGTGTAAGAGGGATCAGCTCCCCTGGCATCTCCCTGATCATGAGTACTCTTTGCCTGGTGTTACATTGGTGCGAATTGCTAGGAGGTGGATCCCCGGATCGAATCCGGTCGCGAACATATCGCACACCAGGCAAGATACAGCATACCCTTACCCAAAGGTGGATACCTGGGTGGGCGGGAAGTCTACCAATTGAGTAAAAACAAAGTCCTCCATCTCAGACGGAGACTGACGAAATGTCATAATAACCAACAATTTCACAATCCTACATGATCTCAAACAATCTAAAATCCTATGGGATATGCCTGGGGCCGCCCGAGGACGTTCGCTCGAGGGGGGGAGGAATGTAAGAGGGCTCCCCTGGCTGAGGGATTGTAGCAAGCTACATTTCCCTTAGAATATTTTAACGATTACTTTAACAATAACTGTTAAATTGTTAAACGATTTGACTCAAGTTTCGTACATGTTCCGAGTTTCGTCACATATCGCGAACTGGGCAGCTGTTCGTAAGCAAATCTAACGGGATGGGGCCCCGGGCCCCACCAACATTATCCTAGTACGGCAAAGTCCGTAGTAGGGATTCTCCGGCAGGTAGGCCGAGATATAAGCTACCCGGGCGGGGTGTTCTGGCCAGACACTGACGTATCACATTACTAGGTGTTCGGAGTTCAAGACTCCGCTGCCGCCGTCTCTAATCGTTACGTACACGTCTATGTACGCTAGTGCATGCCGCTTGGTTGGACTTCTTCCTACATCGGTGAGGACTAACAACTCCACGCTTCCGCGCTGTCAGTCGTCCCGTCAGGTGAGCGACTGCTACAGGGATGTAAGAATGTAAAGGGCTCCCCTGGCGTCTCCCTGAGTACTCTTTGCCTGGTGTTACATCTGGTTTGTTCTGCCACCATTCACCATGCATGATGTTTGCACTCCGGTGTAACACAGCAAAGGTGTAACACAGCAAAGGTGTAACCTGGGATGCTCAGACACAAGGCTGATCTGGGCCGATTGGCCAATCGGTGTTGATCCCTTGCCAACAGTATTGCCTGCTTTTCCTTCACCAGCACTAGGCAGTGATCCCTCATCAGGCAAATAGTGTGAAGTTCTTCAACCTCATCAGCATCAGACCCATAACCTGAGTCCCTGGCATTGATGAATTCAACTTTGGTGAGATGACGACATCTACAGGATGACCAGCGGCTGTGGGTGCTGCCATCTCCCGTGCAGAAACTACTTTTGCTTTATGTCATGACTTTTCAGAAAAGAATCGACCATGGTTGCAGACAGTGTTTTTTTTAAGTAATATATTCCTTATAAGGAATAAAGAGGCCATTTTGGCCTTTGGAAGAAAGGAATGAATTGAGGCCGACCCGTACATTTTCATTCCTCCAGCCAAAAACGTCCATTGCTGCCAGATTGCTCCGTAGTGTGCAGAACTTAGTATTATCGATCATAGAATAGATATGAGGGGCCGTAAGAAGGTCAAGCCCGTGAGTCAACGCGGCATAGCAGAATGTATGACCGGTCCTTACATCGCCAAACACGCAAAAGGCAACGACTTGAACGCCGAACAAACACCAAAACAGCAAGATAAGCCTGAAAATGTTCCTGATAAAGGCGTTTGGGACGGCGGTGCTGTTGTCGGTGATGCATCGGGAATGGTGTTGCTGCCAGCGGCGGGTGACTGCCTTTGATG